CAACGTCAAACCGACCACCTTTACTTCCAAGGACTTATCATGGTACCCATTTTCAGATAGGTCAGCCTGAGAATTTTTGATGCTAAAAAAAAAATTAGGGGAGACTACTAATGTCTAAGAATACATACACCATTTTATACAGATTATTTTCCCTTACATGTGTTTGCATTGAGGCAAAGACTGTTTCTACATTCAAATCATGTCTTAACATTGAATAATGGCTTGTCAACAAAATGACGGCAGTAAGAAATGGAATGAAGACTTGTTGGAGTGTTTGCATTATGTTAACGTAAATCAAATTCCTACATACTGGTGTGAACAAACTGTGGGTGATCCAAGATATGAGGAGTTACTTCTTATGACGTTATTTTTTTGTTATTTGAAGCCCCACTCTGGCTTTTGCCAGGGGCCGCAATATAGGCAGGTCATCATCATGGCCAAATGTCTGAACGCGGTTTCTGGGACCTCTCCACGGTGATCCTCATCCGCATGGTGGCACTTTGTGTCATCGGGTGTTTATCGCTTGTGTGATGTCCTGGTGGGGTAAAAAATCCAATCCAATCCTATGAGGAGTTGCTATAATGCTTCCCAATGTTGGATGCAATTTTTTTTAAGAACAGTCCTGACTGTTGCCGGGGTGGGGGTGGGGTCATCTAACCCTGCCTGTGGATTGAACGGGGTTTCTGGGACCTGTCCCTGGGTGAACCTCATCCAAATGGTGGCACTTTGCTTCACCAGGTGTAATGTCCTTGTGGGATTGAACGTCATTCATTCATTTGAGGAAATATCTGAGGGACGTTCAACTCCATCAGGACTGCACAAAAAGCGATTACCACCTGTTGACACAAAGTGTCAAATTTCGGATGAGAATCCCAATGCACAAGTCGCTGAAATCCCGTTCAATCTTAGGTTAGATACGTGATTTGCCTTTTAAACAAATCTTGCCTTCCATATTGGAGCCTAGTTAGGATAGTTTGGAAATATTTTACGCTGTGTCGATGTTCTGTGAATTAATCTATCAAAGAATTTAGTGTTATGAGGAAAACAAAACACCCCATTAGAGAACTAGCCGAGCTTAGAATAACAAAACAGCCACACATTACACTGTAGTTGCTGTGATACTTGTGTAAACAAACAGTCCTATTCTTGTGACCACGTATTTACCTACTATTTGTTATAATTAGAAAACTTATCAGTACATGACGAGACCAAATCTAAATGCTTAAAAAAAATAGAAACTAGACATAAGTTTTACTGCCACAATACACAGACATTTATTTAATTAAGTGTAATATGGATCTAGTAAATGTCCTAGATTTATTTCAGTGTGGTTGAAAATCTGCACTACAATTTATTGGGCAATAGGAATTTACCCTGTATTTAACACGAAGCTTAAGGCCACTTGAAATGACACAAGATGGTATATGTTTCACAAACACTATATGTTTACAAAAAGCTTAAACTGAGGCATGGTACGTAAACATTAGAAGTAATGAAATTAGACATTGTTTCTTCACACAATTTATTAAAATTGAACTAGAAAGAACTAGAATGAACGATGACCACCACAATCTCACACTTCACATGTTCATTAAAATATGAGTAAAACTAAACATAGGGTTTTATTCTTCTTTCCGTCCATGTGTCTGGCATTGGTAATCGTGTTTTTTTCCACATCATTCTGCCTCGTGTGCTGCCAGTCATTTCTGCCACATTTTTGTTGATCCCTGATACCTGACCGTCTTGCATCTTCATGCTTAGTCTCTCTGTGTGTCTCTTCCCTTCTCTTTTATCGGCGGTGCCAAGTGCCGGGACCTTTTTTGTGGTCCTATTTTTTTTTTTTTTAGCGCTGATATAATAAACACTTTGTAGTGAGTACAGATACCAGTTTAGGACACTATGTAGTGAGTACCGGCACCTCTGTTTCTAGAAGAACAAAAAACCCCGATTTCAGCTTTCCAGTTTTCGCGACCTACTCCGGATTTGATCGTCCTACTAGAGAAGGTAAAATTATGACCCCGATATGGATCTTTTTTTTTTTTTCTTAAAGATATTTTCTTTTCACATTTTATCTGCTCGTAGTTTTTAGATCATTCGTTTACATCACCAAACCTCTGTAGATTACACCAGGATGACCAATTTACACTTTGCCAGTTTTTATTCAGTTCGGAATAAACAAGGCAATCACCACAGTCACACTCATCCATACATATACTCAACATATTTTATGAAATGAAAGTAAACGTTATTCTGTTTTCACACAAGATAAATCTTTATTAAAATGAAGCTAGATGTGTAATTTGTGCACGCAATACTCACATTTATGTGTATTTTCTAAAGTATATGTATTCATTTATAACTGAAATGTACGAAATCTTGCAATTCTCTAGTCTACAAACACAACATTTAATGACCAACAATTCCTTCCAAGTCATCCGTCTTGAGGTCTTTTTCTGTCAGCTCGTACTTTTGTTCAACTTCCTTGGCTGTGCAGTCAACGATCTTGATGGTTCTTTTGGGTTTGCCACTTCTGTCTACAGGACCAATGCGATTGAGAGCTTCGATGTATTGCTGATTAGAAGTCAATGCAGTCGAGTTATAATTACAGTAGGATTATTATTACAAGTATAACTATCTGGCAGTTGTATATTTTAAACACTGCTTTCCATGGTTTATTTAAATACGCGGCATATCATACAGAGACTACATCGCCTTTGACGAAGTTTGCCATATAGTTATTCAGCTTATTCGGAATTATGAACCTCTTTTAACTATAGTTGAAGGGAGAAACATGCGATCTTACGGACATGTAGTAATATCTAGAGGCCTTTCAAAATCAATAATATAGGGCTCAGTAGAGGGAAAGAGGAGAAAAGGCAGTCCAAGAAAAACATGGATACAAAACGTGAGTGACTCTATAAGCCTTAGGTAGACAACCATCGCAACTCACCGCCAAAAGTGGAGGGAGCTCATCTGACAGTCAATAGAAACTGGTGTTCTAGGGATACGCAGTGTTACGAGAAAATGATGATGATGATAATGATGAATTTTAATAATGCTGACATAGGCACGGGCATTGCACAATTTGTTGCCAGGAATATTACCCTGACTCTCGCCAGGTACATAATTACATTCTATCGTGTCTGGCGCATTAATACATTAAATTGAGCCCCTTAACCAACGTGCTGTCCTACTAACGAGTGCCTGTGCTTCTGCCAACTGCTGAAGTATGTCCAATCAATGTTTGTCCGATGAACCGATTGTCCCTTTGTTGCTCTGGTCGTGTAGGCAGGTGCTTAATTTGCCACTGCAGCCACCATAATCTCAGTACCTGTTGTAATTATGTTTATTATGTTTTTTGTTTGTTTATTATGTTTATTCAACGGATCAGTATCATGGCACACGGGTGCCACCCATATGTGCTTCTTTCTGCTTATAACTGCCTTAGTCTGGAGAATCTCAGGGCAGTGCACCCATTCTGTTGATCGGCGAGGATTTTGAAATACTTTGGGTAGATTTGTTAACCCCTATTTTTGCACTTGCAGCGCATTGGGGCTATTCCTTTCGATTTCTAATTATCAGGTTTTTTTTTTTTTTTTACATGCGCAGCAATACATACGGGCGTCCGATCTTACTGCCAGTGGAAATTACTAGAAGTCTACGTGAAAAGAATCCCAGCTTTCATCGGGGCTTGCACCCAGGACCTCCAGCACTCAAGGCAGACATCATACCAAGAGACGACTCAGCCCCCAGTTGTTGTAATTACCATAACGTCTTGTCTGATCAGCGTAGGAGGTGATGTCCAAGGCCCGGGAGTCATGACCCTGGTCAGCACGCTCGGCGAGACTGTCTAGGGAGGTAAACGGGCTGACAAAATTGTTGAAAGGGGGACACCTACTGACGATCGATAGACTCCTGCTGGGCATGCTCCCATCGTGGGGAAGAAATAGCAGGAGGAATGAGACCAGGAAGGAGGTGCAGGCATCGACCAACGAAGGTGGGTACAAGATATAGATGACTTTTATATAAAAATGCATAAGGCGGGAGAGATGGGGAGAGACAGAATTTCTTTTAGACAGACCGTGATAAGAGCGACGTTCTGCAAAGGACCTGCTTTTTAATGTTGAAGATGAGTCTGCCGTAGGTGTAAACTGTGGAAGCTCCATTCAACTGTCGAAATCAGCTGTTGGCTCAGTTAGAATTTAACAGGGTATTTCGGAAACCAGAAGCGCGTTGGCAATGCATAAGCGACAGGCTCCAACGCAGATTTACAGTTAAATATTTATTGCATTAAAGAACTTCGTTTCTTCTATGGTCTTGTCTTGTTACGTTGACTGCTTTTTCTCAAACATCTAATGTTTCCGTTCTTGTTCTTTTGTTAATGCCCAGTTTTGACATTGATAGCACAATGTTGGTAAAAAGGAATCAACTAACTAATTAGATAATCATTAAATGGGTGAGTGAATGAGTCTATAAAAAATGAATAATCCAAAGTACTCACATAACCACTGACGACTTTGCCAAAAGCGACGTGTTTGTTGTCGAAGTATCTGCCGGGTCCCAGGAGAATGATGAAATGAGAGCCGTTGGTGTCCTTACCCTTGTTTGCCATAGTAACGATACCCCCGCTGGTGTGCTTGATAATGAAATTCTCGTCGTTAAAGTATTCGCCATAGATACTGGTGCCTGTTGACGTGAGAAGACTGATTACCTTTCTCTCTAACACATTAAGTTACCTATCTGTTACGGATCACATCATAAGCGGAACAGGATTTTCTGCCTGGGACATTCATGGGTGTGGAGTAATGAGCAGTTTGAAAGATTGGCCAATCCTCTATTTGGTGAGGTAATTTGTGATGAAGCGTACGCGATAAAGGCTCTCTGGTCTGACGCAAACAATGCAACACAGCCTCTGTACCTCAAGAGATTGAGTCAGCGTGGAGTGAGCTAAAGATCTGGACAGTTTTCAACACGCTAGAGAAAGGACAGGGGAATTGTAATCAGGCTGCAACAGGCACCATCAGGAAGTCTTCATCGGCTACTGAGGAAGAGCATGACCCCCCTAAGGAATGTCCCGAGTGCAGTGACATCAATTCTTGGTTGATTCTTCACTCTTCTACAGTTCAACTTTGAACAAAAAGTACAATTCGAGAATCCTTTTACAAATAATCTCAGCTTATGATTCTAGTATGTTACTTTTACGGACCAATCAAGAACGAGTTCATGATATTGTAAATATTCCACTGACTGCCAAAAATGTACGCTGACACATGGAACAATGGAGCCGCAGTGTTGAAGTGGCTAGAAGCTCACCGCATCGTCGTGGAATACTTCTCTTTTTTTTTTTTTCTCAAATCGACCTTATTTCTGCGGTCTACCCAGCCTGAAAAAGCTAAAAGGTGATATCATGGGAAGTAAAGGGGGTTAGTTGCTGACCACATTACTGAACACGTGTCGATTAATCTATAAAATAAACATTCTAGCATTGTATGCCTCATGCGCCAACAGCATGAAAAATACTCTTCACTTGACTTTTTTTTAAAGGAAAATAAAAGCCACCTTGGTTTGTTTGTTTGTTTCACTAGAGCCGCTACATAGTTGAGGTGGTCAGTTTCAAGGAAACCCTGCTTCTGTGAAGAGTTGAACCAGGACCATGTCTTGGTATAATGGCGCACACATTTCAATGCCACCGATGACTCGTTCCTACCATACATCCGTATATGAAAAAGCAAGACAGAGTCGGCAGTACATAAAGTATGCTTATATTTCTTTCTTGGCTTTATTCTCATAAGAGCAAATGTAACTAGAAAAACTGATATTGCTGGGCAGACTAGGTCTTTAGCTTTGTTGGTAGCAGATCAAGCAAGGTTGTTCTGACAGGCTGACAGACAAAGAAATGCTCTGTTTCAAACGAATTGGTGTTACAGTTTCTATTGGAGTAAACAAAGCAGGTAGAAAAAGATCACGCTGCACGGGCACCACATGATCGCTACAGTACTGTCCAGGATTGTGTTTTGAGAGGAAGAACTTAATTATATTATCCTTCTGTTTATTTCTCTTTGCTTGCCTGCCTGACTGACTCTCCCTGTTCTCTGTCCCTGTCTCTCTCTCTTTCTCTCTCTCTCTTTCTCTTTCTGTCTCTCTCTCTCTCTCTCTCTCTCTCTCTCTCTCTCTCTCTCTCTCTCTCTCTGTGTGTGTATATCTATCTGTAAATCTCTATCTCTCCATGTGTGTTTGTGTGTGTGTGTGTGTTGTATGTGTGTATGTTAAATTGTCTGAGTGACTGTCTGTCTACCTACGTGCTAGCCTTCTTTCTGTCTTTATGTCTGCATCCCAGGCTGCCTGCCAGATTCTAATGTCTGTCTAACGATCTATAAGCCTTTCAAACAGTATCATGTAAGGCGTACTTACTGCCATAACCTTCTTTGTTGAACACGTCTCCGCACTGAAGGAACATGTCTCGGCTGATTCGATGACAGATGGTGTTCTTGTAACTGAGTGTTGGTTGCTAAAGGAAACAGAAGACGTACCGGTTTGGAAGTCATTATGTTCAAATTATAATCTTTAAAACAGATATGATTGAAGGAATTGATTATATTAGACATTATCAAGTACCTTGCTGACTGGCTTGGGCTATCATGCGTCTCTACAATCCGACTCTGCGTTTATAAGTGTGTTAACACCCTCTATGCCATGACAAAAGGTTGTCAAGAATCTTTTCGTTGTCTTCCCCTGTCTTTCTTTCCACAGATCCGTATTCACAAATTGATTAGACATCAACTTGTTGATTCAAGTATACAGAACATCTGTGTGAAGCGACACATTGAAGAGAGCCATGGATTATCCTACACTGTGTAAGGAAGAAGGTCGAGCTGAAATACCACAGAGCGATTCTTAGAATACCCCGACCAAGAAGCAGTCGAATACTATCATTCTGAGAGATCTAAATAACAAGGAAAATTGGCTCATTAAAAGCAGCTTGTCCCTGAGACTCAAATACTTTGGACAAATGAAACGTTGCATGACTTGGAAACAAAAGTAATGAGGTCCAAAATACGAGGTTTGAATGCCAGGAGCAGGCTAGTGCTAAGATGGGCACAGGTTATCTTGGGCAAGAAAGTGTATAAGGCGGGACAGCTCACAAGGGAACAAGTTTCTTTCAGATGGACAATGATAGGAATGATGCTCTGAAAAAATCCCGTTACTGAATCATAACTAGTTAGCTTGTTATTCTTCTAAAAGTTATTATTTTGGCTTAATATAGACATTATTGGCACTAGACATCAATTCGATGACTGGAATGATCAACAATAGAAGATGCAGAGGTAGGACCAGCCCATGTGTAACAGTTATGGAACAAGACCAAAGTCCAGAAGAGTACAAACAACCAACATTTTTCTCCTGCTGTTCACAGCGAGTGAACGGTAAGAATAATAAGACCCAGCGCAGCAATGACAAAGGAACTGAAGCTATAGCATGGACAAATGTTATCTCTGGAACTTACATTAAAATACTGAGGACCGATATCTGTGGATAGACATCATCGCTAACACCGCCTTGCAAGTCATATTGTAATGATAGATAGATATTTATATATAATTTATATAAGAAATTTCTAAAAAAATCAAAATCAATTACCACATAGAAAGAAAAAAACATTAAAAAATTGTAGGGAATTGTAGAATGTTACATTTTTTTTTTTTCAACTTTCTGGATTACCAGCAATCCTCACGCTTCCCTGAATTTAGGGTACAGAATCAGGGTTCTATGGTTTTCATGAATGTGTGCAGACCAGTATTGTCTTGGCGAAATTAAAATTCTCTCAGCCTCTACACACTGCGAAAACTGAATTTATGCAAAGAGTAACACTAGAAAGTTCGCCAATAAAATAACATGGGTAGCGTGCATGGTTCTACTATAGACGTACTTGCTCGTCGCGGAACTGAAGGTCGTGAGTTCACTCCCTGGCGGAGCCGGACTTTTTTTCAGAAATGACCTTGGCTCCCAGGTCGACCCAGCCTTGAGTGGGTACCGGGTACAGTCCCGGGAAAGTAAAGGCGGCCGGCGTGATGCTGACCACATCACCTATCTTGTGCCGATTGGTCTATAAAAATGTAGATCTAGCCCTCTATGACCTACACGCCTGATGGCGTGGAAAACGGTCCTTTACTTTTACTTTTTTTAATTAGACGTACTTTGGTCATGTTCAGTGCTATGCTATCAGTCCCAGACATTGTCGCTCACAACACAACATAAATGAACGTTATCAAGCGTAAAAATACGCTGGCTCTGAAATGCTGCCGGGGTGAATATAAGAGATAAGATCATGAAACAAATCTCAGGTGATAAATCGTCACAGAATCAGTTCTAAATTACATACACAATAAAGTGGTTTGCATTTTAGAGACAAAGTTTTGCTGCACCCAGCCATATTAGGCACGCAACAAAAGAACAGAGAAGCCTAAAATAAAGGGTAAACCAAGAAAAAGATGGAAGGATAATATCAGAGAAACTCTGCAGCCCCACATGGTGTCTGTTGTGGAGGCGACCAGAAGAGCGATAAGCAGAGCCTTATATCTCCCTGGGCCCTCGAAGCTGAACAAGAGCAAGTGAAGAAGTGTGTTTTTGCTGGTCATCAAGGAGCTGGCATTCTTGTCTTCTTCTTTTTTCCTAGCGTTCACTTTAGGCTTTAGTCTAGTTCCATAACCTGAGTATTGCTTGCATATCGGTTGTACATATTTGGTGTATTTGTTTGCAGACTGTTGGTTCATTGCTGATGGTATCCAACTTTGAAGGCTGCCCTTAAATAGTCGAGAACTACTACGACATTTATGTTGGGGAGGCACTAGCTCTAATATTGCTTTCCCGAAAACAGGGCCCCGGATCCCATACGGAGGAGAGCTGGTATTTACTTTGTGTGATCTTTTACACGAAACTGAAGCATTGTCAAAATGTTCGTGCGCGATAAAAATGATCCGTTACCAACAAATCGTCAGCGTCACTGGCAGTTACATAAATCTGACATACTGGCGTTTTAATTCAGCAACAGTTAATTTGACAGCAGACAGATATAGGTTAATTTTAACGTCGACTGAGCGTTGAGCTGTTCAGATAATTTTAACAGTCTACTGGACGTAACATTCACCTTTCAAAACAACAAAAAGCCAACTAGTAGTTTCCTACCTCCTGTAAAGGAAAACTTAAAGTAAAGGACGCCTGTCTACGCCTTCGGGCTTATTGGGCATGCAGGACTAGACCTAAAAAATATAGAACAATCGGCACTCGGTGGATGATCAGGTCAGCATCACTCCGACCACCTTTACTTCCCAGGACCGTACCTAGTACCCATTCAAGGTTGGATGCACTTGGGAGCCAAGGTCGTTTTCTGAAGCAAAAAAAGCCAGTCAGGTACCCTTAGGACATGAACCCACGACTTCCGACCCACAGACCAGTGTCTATTCGCTACAAAACAGGCAGCTCCCCAGTCATGTGAAGGATATACTTTACTATTTTTTAATTTTTTTATTTAAAGAGATAAATAGGACTGCAGGCTGCAAATTCTGCAATGGTCGTTACGGTTGTCCGAGTTATAACTTCTTTGGAATTTGAACGGGATGTCTGGAATCTTCCCTGTTGGTTCGTCATCCAGACTGAGATGGTATAATCCCATGGTGTCAAACCTTCACGTAGCAAACCGGAAGGTGAAGACGATAGAGAGAACTTAGCAGTTTTCAACCAACAATTTAATGGCAAGAGATAATAAGCATTAACTTACATTTGGTCTCTTAAAACCCTCACACAGTGTCTTGAAGTTGAGGGTGGCAACCGGCACTGTATCCCCAAACAATCCAATGACCACTTTGCCGTTCAGGTCATCGCCTTTACCATTGTAATTCTTCACTTCGATGTCTAGTTCCACTAATGATGTTACTGTGTAGTTCTTGTTGCAAGACCCAAGTGCCACCAGCAAGGACAAAGTACAGAGCGCGATCAAATGCATTGTCGTTTCTTTCTGGAAAGGAAACACAAATGTTAAATTAAACTTCAATGGTTTTATTATAATTTAAATTAAGTGCATTATAAATAAGCTTCAAGAAATATAGTTTAAACCAGCATGATACATTTAACTAAGTACAATAATAAACCCTTTGCGTTATGTGTTGAATAGTGATGTGTGTGTCCTAGTTGTGCAATTAGTAATGTAAATCGTATAGTTGAAAGAAAAATCCACATAACCACCAAATAAAAGCTGTGATTAGTTTTCCAATTCCTGAAAAGAAAATGCGTCTAAATTGTTAGTCAAAACAACTTTAAAGTATAATTGTTTTAGAGCCTGTTTGTTCATTTTGTAATACATAATTAGGATATGAAGATAGCAGCGTTCTTACTTTAGCGACGATGTGATACGAAGGTGGACCGTGTGTCACGAGAGAGGTAATGTAAAGTAGATTTCAGGTATTTAAACAGCAGAAGCCTCCACGACAACAGTGGGCCATTGTAGCCAACCAAAGACGGGACATCTGGGCACAAGATGGCAGCTAAGAGAAAACAGTCCACGTGGGTCCACGCTGATCGATGTGAACCACGAAAACTCAACAACCACGTTACATCTTGTGCGAGTGCTGCCAACGTGTTAGTGGTTCTGCTTGGTAAACGCGTGAGGACGTTTACTTTGAGCTTCGAGTAAAAGTAATATACTGTTTCAACATTGTCGTCCCAGCCATCGTCCTCTTCATCATCATCATCTTCCACTGTTTCCGTCCATCGATTTTAGGGAGGATATCATTAAATACACAGCATTCCTTGCGTCACACCCACTTGTCATTTCCTGGGAACGTGATCAAAAAAAAATATCTATCATAAATCAGCTGTTTCTGAAAGCAATCTTCGTGTGTGGAGAATCACTGTGGTGTAGGAGTTAAACGCTCGTCTGGGCATCGGAAGGTCGTGGATTCGAGTCCTGATGGAGCCGGACTTTTTTTTTTTTTAAACTTGACTCTCACGTCAACTGAGCTGGGGGTGGATACCAGATGCAGTCTTGGGAAGTGAAGGCCGCCGGCCGGCTGATAACTACATTACCCATCAAGTACCGACTAGTCTCTAAAATATAGATCTAGCCCTATCTTTCCACAAGGCCTGCAGGCATAGACAAGTTTCCTTCACTTTTCTGTATCTTCTTGTGTAAGATTGTCTCAGGCCTAGCACCTGTGATGATATATGGTTTTGCTGCATTTTAAGAAGATACCAAAGAGGTTGGATATTACATTTCTCAGTTAATTTGGTATGAGATACAGAATTTCACTGAAAGTGTTCTGTCTCACTGGGTCTTGGTTGGTTTAAATCCACTGCAGTGCCTCTTTAGCATTGTTTCTATGACTGAATTGACCGTCTGGCTGTATTTCCACAATAACCTCAGATAAGTATCAACAATGGCACAATAACATGATATTTGAGGAGAAGAGAAATAGGGGGAAAAAAACGTACCATATAAACGTATTATGAACATTTACAAGTGTATATATGAACATTTTTGTAGTAACATTTTGAAAATATAATCAAACATACCGGAACGCAGCCACAACGAAATAAATAACTAGGCACCTCAGCAACTCGAATAATGTTCTTGTAGTCTTTCTCTCCACTTTACACTTCATCACATCCTTATCTTGGAGCCGTACAGGAAGCTTGCCTGGCTTCAGGGGTATTGAGCATATAGTTCTAGATATATATTTTATAGACCAATCGGCACTTGGTTAACGATGAGGTCAGCATCACGCAGGCCGCCTTTATTTTCCTGTTTGGCTTTTTTGCTCGGATTTGACGCCACGACCATCGCAAGCATTTAGTCCCAACAATACGACGGTTCGGTTCCCAGCTTTGAGTTGTGTATTTTCATATAATACTAGCACAAAATGATTTCACCATTTCTCATTTAGTAACGCTTTCTTCATAATGTAAATTTCGAAATATGTCACAAATAAGTTTGCTAAAATATTTTGGAAAATAATTCAGACAACCAATAATCCATCTATCCATCCATGCATCCATCTATCCATCCATCCATCCAACAATCCATCCATCCATTTATCCATCCATCCAACAATTAATCAATCCATCCATCCATCCATCCATCAATCAATCCATCCATCCAGCCATCTATCTATCCCTCTATCTATCTATATATCTATCTATCTATCTATCTATCTATCTATCTATCTATCTATCTATCTATCTATCTATCTATCTATCTATCTATCTATCTATCTATCTATCTATCTATCTATCTATCTATCTATCTATCTATCTATCTATCTATCTATCTATCTATCTATCTATCTATCTATCTATCTATCTATCTATCTATCTATCTATCTATCTATCTATCTATCTATCTATCTATCTATCTATCTATCTATCTATCTATCTATCTATCTATCTATCTATCTATCTATCTATCTATCTATCTATCTATCTATCTATCTATCTATCTATCTATCTATCTATCTATCTATCTATCTATCTATCTATCTATCTATCTATCTATCTATCTATCTATCTATCTATCTATCTATCTATCTATCTATCTATCTATCTATCTATCTATCTATCTATCTATCTATCTATCTATCTATCTATCTATCTATCTATCTATCTATCTATCTATCTATCTATCTATCTATCTATCTATCTATCTATCTATCTATCTATCTATCTATCTATCTATCTATCTATCTATCTATCTATCTATCTATCTATCTATCTATCTATCTATCTATCTATCTATCTATCTATCTATCTATCTATCTATCTATCTATCTATCTATCTATCTATCTATCTATCTATCTATCTATCTATCTATCTATCTATCTATCTATCTATCTATCTATCTATCTATCTATCTATCTATCTATCTATCTATCTATCTATCTATCTATCTATCTATCTATCTATCTATCTATCTATCTATCTATCTATCTATCTATCTATCTATCTATCTATCTATCTATCTATCTATCTATCTATCTATCTATCTGGTAATGACAGAGCTGACAGATTGGCAAAGAAAGGAGCAACACAAGAACAACCACCTACAGCGACAACCCTCCAGACAGCAAAAACACTGATAAGAGCTATAAACAAAGAGACTTGGTTGAACAGATGGGCCATGGGAGACACTGGAAGAGAGGTTTATAGACATATGTCTGACCCTGATCCTAATGACAGCATTAACCATCTAACAAGAAGGGACCAGGCCACCATCTTCAGACTTAGAACGCAACATACCCCACTCAATGGACACCTAAACAGAATACAGCCACAACACTCCCCAGAGTGCCAGCTATGTAACTACCCCTACGAAACTGTTGAACACCATCTCTTTGAGTGCCCAAAACTCAGTGAGACAAGAAGAACGCTACTCCCTCCGAGACCAGACAAGTGGAACACCTTGTACGGAGAAAAAGAACAGCTTGTGAAAACATGCAAATTCCACTACATGGCATTGGGCCAAAGGGCGAAAGCTCATGCGCCGCTGGATCGATAACAATAACAACAACAATCTATCTATCTATCTATCTATCTATCTATCTATCTATCTATCTATCTATCTATCTATCTATCTATCTATCTATCTATCTATCTATCTATCTATCTATCTATCTATCTATCTATCTATCTATCTATCTATCTATCTATCTATCTATCTATCTATCTATCTATCTATCTATCTATCTATCTATCTATCTATCTATCTATCTATCTATCTATCTATCTATCTATCTATCTATCTATCTATCTATCTATCTATCTATCTATCTATCTATCTATCTATCTATCTATCTATCTATCTATCTATCTATCTATCTATCTATCTATCTATCTATCTATCTATCTATCTATCTATCTATCTATCTATCTATCTATCTATCTATCTATCTATATGTCTGTCTGTCTTACTAATGCATTACTATTTGATATTTAGATAAGATGTGTGTCGTATGCGCTGCTGAGTGCCTGACTACTGATGAGTGCGTGTCTAACGTGTATAGACGCCTGACTACTGATGAGTGCGTGTATAACGTGTATAGACGCCTGACTACTGATGAGTGCGTGTCTAACGTGTATAGACGCCTGACTACTGATGAGTGCGTGTATAACGTGTATAGACGCCTGACTACTGATGAGTCCGTGTATAACGTGTATAGACGCCTGACCACTGATGAGTCTGTGTGTAACGTGTATAGACGCCTGACTACTGATGAGTGCGTGTATAACGTGTATAGACGCCTGACTCCTGATGAGTGCGTGTATAACGTGTATAGACGCCTGACTACTGATGAGTGCGTGTATAAAGTGTATAGACGCCTGACTACTGATGAGTGCGTGTTTAACGTGTATAGATGCCTGACTACTGATGAGTGCGTGTATAACGTGTATAGACGCCTGACTACTGATGAGTGCGTGTATAACGTGTATAGACGCCTGACTACTGATCGGGTCGTGGGTACGGGTCCTAATGGAGCCGCACTTTGTTCATTAATGACCTTGGCTCCCAAGGTCGACCCAGCTTTTGCTGGGTACAAGGTGCAGCCCTGAGAAGTAAAGACGGCAGGCCATACTGCCCATATAACCCGCCAAGTGAAGAGAAGGAAGAAGAAGAAGAAGAAGAAGAAGAAGAAGAAGAAGAAGAAGAAAAAGAAGAAGAAGAAGATCCATTTCTTTACACTCTTCCTTTAACCGCTCTACACGTTATCCTGCAACATTCTGTTGTCAAGCGTCAACATCAAAGATTTGAAATTTTACCTCTGCTTACTTTCTTAAGTGTGTCCGGGTTTACAATTCTAAAGTTAACCACGTTGAACGTAATCCCTCCCCACCCTCAGCCTCCCTGCCTCCTTGCCTACAACCCTCACCTAAATCCTCTTAAGGCGCACGTGCTGTTTGAATCTATAGTATTCGTATTGTTAAAATCGTTTTCTCAAGTTTTACAATCTAAAATC